CCATGGTTGCAGATTCACAGTTCTCAGTTGGTTCACGCAAACGTCTTAACTCTCTTAGAGCATTCAGTATATCAACCTGGTCCACGGCTTGTCCGGCTTTTAAAGTAGCCTTACCTGCAAGCCTATCAGCTTGCTCATTTCCTTGTACCCATGTCACACGAAAATGAATCTAATCCTTGTCAGCCGTGAATTCTGTAGAGCTGCCACCACTGCCTTAAGTTTCCTGCTGTAGTGTCTCACCTCTTTTATGTCTGTAAAACATGGACTGTCCGACTCTGCCCTGAAAACAATTACTGTATGTTTCAGTGTGTAAAGATGATATTTCCCAAATTTTTAAAGTTTAAAATCTGCAGTTGTCTTACATACAGATTGTTTTTAACATATTTCTCAATTCTGGACTAAAGAAATTGGGGTTGTTTTACATATGGGGGCGTCTTATACACAGATAAATACAGTATTTCACTTCAATTTGGGCTGCTTCAAAAAAATTGTTCGACACAGCATAACAAGAAAGATTTACAGGTATAGTTCTCTCTTATGGACTGACATGGTAAACATCCACACTGCACGTACAAATCAAATCTGATCAGGACCAGCAACAATGCCTGCAATGCCAAATGAAAGACCACCAAAGAAAACCGACGATGACTACTTTGATTCAGAAAAAATCAGACTGTTGTGGACTTAAACAGATACTATTGTATTCAGTGAAACTGTTTCGGCACATGTCCTCCCCATGTAAACAACTAGTATTACTGTTATCACTATCACATTCGCAAATTTTGTTTTTTATATTTGATGATGTTAAAAAACTGGAGCTCTGTTTAGAAGAGCGAAGACCTGAAAAAAAAAAAAAAAAAACTATGTACATTAAAACCATCAATCTACACTACAAACCAAAAATAATTATGAGAAAAACTGCAGATTTAAAGTATTAAAACTATCTAAATAAAATTCAAATGAAAACAATTGGTTTCCTCTTCATCTTGCTTGTGTTGGGTTTTGTACGCTCACATCAGATCATCAGGTTGCTTTCAGTCTTGTTCCAGAACATGAGCGTTGCATGCAGATCCATTTTACAGAAGTGGTTTATGTATATGCAGACTGCTGGTTCGTTGAATCTCAGGCTGATGCACTATAGCTTAGAAGGACGTCCTAATTAAACAACTTTTATGACAGGCTTGTTGGAGAGGCAGTGGGTCTGTTCTTGTTTTCTCCACAACACAGCCTTGGAACCAACATGTGGAGTTCAACAGATCACACAGTGAGAATCTAAGCACACAGCACAAACTCTAATTATCTCCCATAGATCACACAAGCAGAATCTAAGCTCTGTCTGCGTGTGTGTGTGTGTGTGTGCACGCCACAGATCACACAATGAGAATCTAAGCACACAGCACAAACTCAAATCATCTTAAAAGTAATCTCAAATATAATATGGACTTTAAACATTCTTACCAAGAGATTTTCTTTTGGCCTTCTGCAAATTCCTTCTCATTTCCATTCGTATTCTATTTGAGCTGAGCACCTTCTGATCTTTAATACCAAGGTGTTTCCCAAACGTGGAGCCATAAAAAACCTACATGATTAAAAAAAATAATTAATAAATATACAAACCATGTATAAGATTTACCATCTCTTACTGCATATGTAATCCCTTTTTTCTCTGTGTTGGTATGACCAAGACCGCCTCCAATATGGGAAAAGGAGCTCTTCTGGACCAACAAAAGCTGTGTAGTTTTTCAGAGTGAAACGATGGTAGACCTGCAATTTTTACGTGTTACCTTGCTTTCTGTTTACACTTCCGAAATAAGCTGTTGTGAGGTGTTAAGTGTTATTAATTATGCCTGCGAAATGTTCTGTACTTGAGTGTAGGTCAAATCATCATTCTCCAAGTGGATATTTAAATGTGTTTAAATTTCCTTCGTATGCTCAGTTAAGAGAAGAGAAAGATAGCTGAAATTTATTCCACCAAAAAACTAGACACCTGGGAAAACCACTGGGAGGAAAAGAAAAACACTACAAATATCCTGGGTGGACAAGAAAATATTGTGAATATCCTGGGTGGACAAAAATAATATTGTGAATATACCGGGTCAACAAAAAGAATATTGCAAATATACTGAGTTGACAAGAAGAATACTGCGAATATAATGGGTGGACAAGAACAATATTTCAAATATCCTGGGTGTACAAGAAGAATATTGTGAGTATTGCGATTATACTGTGTGGACAAAAAGAATACTGTAAATATCCTGGGTGGACAAGAAGAATATTGCAAATATCCTGGGTGGACAAGAAGAAAATTGCAAATATCCTAGGTGGACAAGAAGAAAATTGCAAATATCCTAGGTGGACAAGAATATTGCAAATATACTTTGTGGGCAAAAAGAATATCTTGAATATCTTGGGCAGACCATAAAAATAATTTGAATATCCTGGGTGGACAAGAAGATTATTGGAAATATACTGGGTGGACAAGAAGATTATTGGAAATATACTGGGTGGACAAGAAGATTAGTGGAAATATACTGGGTGGACAAAAAAGAATATTGCATAATATACTGGCTGGACAAAAAAATTTTTTTGTAAATGGGTGGACAAGAAGAATTAGACATGGTCCTACTCCCACACACACAAATTGCAAAATTACAATATGTGAGGTGAGATTATAAGAATTGCTGGAGAAACCAGAAGACTTCCCAATGAAGAATAAGAACAATGGTAGGAACAGTACTCATGAGTTATTTCAAAGAACATCAAATAAACAGTTTAGTGATCTGGTCACAATGGAACAAAATCAGCAGCAGCTAGTGCATACTATATGAGAACAGCAGGCTAAGCCAAGAGGTTGACTTAGAAAGAGATGAATGGGATATGGAGTAAAAGACACTAAAGAAATGAAATATGATATTAACACAATCTACGCAACTAGCAAATACAGGAAATTACATCTAACTGCTCTCTGTGACGTTTTACAGCATAAGCAATAGTGCAAAAGAAAAAGAAAGAATTTGTAGTCTGACTTCTGTAGATACTGTAAGTGATTTAAAACCAGGCCAATGAATGAACACAGTGCACCAAAGAAACTGCTGCCATGCAACATGGGAACTATCACAATGCACCTAATGAACTAAAACACTGCAAAAATTGAACTATCTCTGGAGTATCATTGACTCAAAATATCAGTTCAGGAAAGAACAGTTCCAGGAAAGCTTTTTTTATTCTGTATTTAACCCTAGTTAGAGCACAGGCCCTCAGTAAACCCACATCCAGCAGCCCTATCTTTTGCCACCCCCTAACTCTCGCTCAAATGCTCCCCATTACTTTCCATTCAATATAATTCTCTTCTTTGTGTGTTTTAGGCATCTTGTGACATGTGGGTTTCAGTGAAAAGATATTCTAATTGAATCATCATGTTTTTTGCAATATGAGTCCTTTCATGTTTTAGGTTGATTGAATTTGTTTAGTTTCTATTCATGTGCACAATGTTGGTCTGATAAGAATTTGGACCGCTTAACAGTTAAAGTTAGCTATGTGTCCTTTAGAGGATTGTGCAAAACCAACCCCAGCAATTTTTGGGCTGCTGCGGTTTTTCTAGGCAAATTTTACATTCAGTAGTTTGCCATTGCTTTCTAAATGGCCAGTTCTTGATATACTGTTGAAACCAATGCAAGACAGTCTGCTGCCAAAGTGCCTGCAGTTGGGACTGAACAACAGACCTTGGCATTACAAAGTATGTTCACAACGCCTAAGCCACTAACACCACTCAACAGTACCAGGCGGCAAAGGAAAGGGAAGAGACCACTTAACAGCACAAGGCTGCTAATCTTTTTTATTCTGTATTTAACCCTAGTTAGAGCACAAGACTCAGTAAACCCACAGCTACAAAGCACAAGGCTACAAAGAAAGGAAGGAGACAAACAGAGAACAAATAAGGGCACAAGGCTACAAAGAAAGGAAGGGACCACTCAACAAAGCACAAGGACCACTCAACAGCACAAGGCTACAAAGAAAGGAAGGGACCACTCAACAGCACAAGGCTACAAAGAAAGGAAGTGGACCACTCAACAGCACAAGGCTACAAAGAAAGGAAGGGACCACTCAACAGCACAAGGCTACAAAGAAAGAGAAGGGACCACTCAACAGCACAAGGCTACAAAGAAAGAGAGGGACCACTCAACAGCACAAGGCTACAAAGAAAGGGAAGGGACCACTCAACAGCACAAGGCTACAAAGAAAGGGAGGGAACCACTCAACAGCACAAGGCTACAAAAAAGAGGGGACCACTCAACAGCACAAGGCTACAAAGAAAGGGAGGGACCACTCAACAGCACAAGGCTACAAAGAAAGGGAGGGAACCACTCAACAGCACAAGGCTACAAAGAAAGGGAGGGAACCACTCAACAGCACAAGGCTACAAAAAAAGAGGGACAAAGAAAGGGACCACTCAACAGCACAAGGCTCCAAAAAAAGGGACCACTCAACAGCACAAGGCTACAAAGAAAGGCTGGACAAAAAAATTAGGGGACCACTGTAGGAATGACCAGAAGAGATAAAATCAGGAATGAGATCATACAAGATAAAGCTGGCACAGAACCAATAATAAATTACACACAAAGACAATAAATTGAATGGTTCACTTAGAAAGAATGCCTCCTGATGCTATACCATACAAGGCATATACAAAAACAGTAGAGGGAGGTAGAGCAAGAGGTAGATCAAGAACAAGATGGGAAGATAACATCAGAACTCTACAGCACCACGACGTGTTCATGGTTGAAGCAGCCAGAAGAGCACAAAATAGGACCTTTTATCTCCCACCACACCCGAAGCAGTAAAAGAGGACGTAAAGAAGAAGACAAGAGAAAACACAGCACATAACAAGAAGTTCTGTACAGGAGACCGGTATCATGGATACTAACCAAGATTTCAGCTCCAGCAGGGACAAACTGATGAGCCTTGTAATAGATTTCCCACTGATGCTGGAAGGCTGTTACCTTCTGTTCATCCTCTGTCCTGGAGCAGTTCACATATCTCATCCAGTTGGAGTTAGCTGGGTCGGATGCATCCACAATGTGAGAATGTTTCTTATTTCTTATAATCTATTCCAAATAAAAACTGCATTGGTTCATGGTTGAAAAGAGTTGAAAAAATATCAGCAATATAAATGCATGAATTGTTAATGTTTTCAGCATTGCAACATCTGGATAATTAGAAAAGGGATACAATCTGTAAACAAACAAAAACAGTTAGTAGAACTAGTCTCCCCTTTTTTGTATTTCGGAGCCCCAGTTTAGGAGGCAAAAGACGAGACTCAGGTCCCCATAACAAGCATATCAAAGAAGTGATTAAATAAAAGTTGGCTGAAACTAAACGTGCTGAGCCAAAAGGCTGAAATAGCAGCCCAGCTGTAAACCAAAACATTATATTCCAGCTGCTCTTTTAAACGTGAACACAGAAGAAGACTGGTCACTTTTTCAAGAACACAGTCACAGGTACAACTTTGTACATTCAATTCATGTCCTTTTTAGGACGTAATTTTTTCTTATTTGAAGCCCCACTCTGGCTTTTGCCAGGGGCCGCAATATAGGCAGGCCATCAATATGGCCAATTGGCTGAACGCGGTTTCTGAGACCTCTCCACGGTGATCCTCATCCGCATGGTGGCACTTTGTGTCATCGGGTGTTTATCGCTTGTGTGATGTCCTGGTGGGGTAGAAATTCATTCATTCAGTCAGGTACAACTCTGCCCCAATATGGGACACAATACTTTTTTTAAAGCCCCACCCCCGGCTGTCATTGTGACCCTAATATAACCTTGTGGTTGAATAGTGTTTCTAGGACATGTGCCTGGATGATTCTCATCCGGATGGTGCCATTTTTGTCACGAGGTATTTATCATTTAACGTCACACAGTCGCAGGTAACAATTAATTGTGTGGCTAGATAGGCTTCATCGGTTTACAAAAACAAATGGACATTTGTTCAACTATATTTGAATTTTTAAACTACCGGAAAGTAACCAAGAAAAATCTTTAGTTCAAGAGACGTTCAAATGTCCTAGTGTATCATCTGTGCAGATGAAGTGCGCACCAGTTTATTTTTATATTTTGCAGTTCTTTCTCATAAATATGTCATTGGTAATCTGGTAATCTTAGTTTCAGCTGCATGGCAAACGGGTCACCCCATAGTTGCCCTGCTCTTGTGCCAATGAAAAACGCACAATGTTTATCACAGTCCCTTATGGAAAGATTGACAGACTGCTGTCTCAGCATATGCACTAACATACACATGCATTAAAAGCATACAGTAGCCATCCAAAGTGCTAACACAAACAGTCCGACATTAGAAATGCAGTTCATTATGGGTGGTAGCAGAATTCACCAACAGATCAGCAGTTGCAGACGCGATCAATTTTAATCACACAATGGCACCCCCAATATTGTGACAACAGACATCCGCTATTTTCTGAATCTACAATTTCCACCACCACGTTGGTCACAGTCGAAAAACATTCCTAATGAAATCCACAGCTCACAGTGTCGTGCCATGAACTCAACTCAGAAACCTGGGCGACGAAACTATATCCTTTCAGTCTAAAAATGGAGCAGTTGGTGAGACCATTTGTATAACTATGGATGCTCTATATATTAAGGGGTGCACATTTTAAAAATCCCAGTGGTTCCCCCCCTCAGTTTTAAAGTATCAGTTCTGTAATATGGACCATAAGATTTATTGTGTAATAAAATTCACAATCTATGGTGCCTGATATCACTGGCAAAGCTATAAACGTAACCTTCAGTATAAACGCATCCACTGTTGTAGTTAACATTTACAAAAGTTGTTTCCTTTAAAAATCTCTTAAGACTGCAATTTCTTCAAATGTAAAGTTGTCTGGCACTGGTGTTCCATGTCTTCCTCATGTCTGGTATATGTGCCTGCTCGTTCACTCTTTTTACTGCCTGTAATTGCACGTCTCTCTAGTGTAGTTGGCTAAAACGGACTGCGCAGTGAGCGGGTGACAAACTCCTTGTGGTCCGAGTTCACTCCCGGGGGTAGGCAGAAAAGCCACATTTTCTCCCATATTTACAATTGAATCAAGGCCGAAAGGTTGCGATATCCATAATACCGAGCCTAAGGGTTAACAACTCATGGCTTCTGGATACTAAAACAAACAAACAACAACAAACAAACTGCCTGTAATTACCACACCTTAGGGTGGTGTAATATTTGGGTGTGGGGACTTGACCTTGAGGATTTAAGCCCAAAAGACTAGTGCAGCCAACACTATGCAGCTAGGATTTTATTTTTGTCCCTGGACAACACAAAAATCCCTTAACTTACAAAATATTTGACCCTAGGTCACCTGCATAAGAGCCCAGCATAACTAATCACTTGGCCAGTCATTTCTCTCTTTCAACGGCAAATATGTTCCCTTTTCTGCTATGTCCAACTATTAATGATAGTATCTTTTTGTTGTTGTGAATTAACAATTTTATTATCTTGCTTTCAAGCAATCAACTGTTTTTGGTTTCCAGCAAAGATTCAATATTCGAACAGTACCTCTTGCAACATAATTAAAAGTCTGCCTGTTTTCCCCTCAGTGTTAAATATTTTTCAAAACCCCCCATTTCATGGCCTATTAGCCTAGCCTGTCAGTGTATGGATTCTCTGTCTATTCTGTTGCACTGTCCAAGTGATCCCTGAGAGCCTTCAGCATCACAAAGTAGCTCATCACATAGAGGAGTGGCAGCAGCCAATCTATCAGTCTGCAAATTATTTAAGACATTGAGGAATACGGACGTCTAATTAAAACTATAGGGGGTGGGGGGAAAGGTTAGACTTACAGGCAGAAGTAGACACAGGAGGACAGAATCCAAGGGGAATTGAAATATGGAACGATCCAAGAAACAACTCGGCCTGTATGTTGACTGGGCCCATAAAGGAAGAATAAACACACATACACATGTGTATAGCCAAATATATTAATATTATGTAAAAGAACTGTGCATGCACTGTTTCTCTCCATAAAAAAAAAAACAGAAAACATAGGATGAGACAATACCATACTCACTTGCCAGGAGAAGTCTGCTGATTTCCCCCTAATTTTTCCATGATGTATTTTTCCTCTGTAAGGTCCAAACACAGTCCCAAAAGGAATATCCACAGCAGCAAAAACACCAAGACCAGCCCCCAGAATCCCAGATTTCTTGATTATCAAACCAGGAGGAAGTGTTTTTTTACTGTATATTTTGTGTAGTCCCCCAGTATATTCTAACGGCACCTAAAAATAAATGGATAGCAGTATCCATAACTTGTTTGTACTCTTCTGGTGAAAGGAAACTCACCACATATTTATAGGTATCACAACGCTATACATTTTTTCTGTCCTTTCATCTGTGATAATAACCTGGTCTAAAGGAGTGAATGAATAAGTGAATCAAGAGTTGACACCACTGCACTTGGGACGCATGTGCCTCAACCTCTTCTCCAACAGCCAAAGAAAACGTCAACATCCTAATAATACCAGTTGCAACCTGATTAAAAGTCTGGCTTTGTTTCCCATTCAGTTCTGAATAGCTTCCAGAATCTCTACTTACCTCCCATTGAATTAGTCTTTCAATGTGGGATAGCAACGAGGACGTCACGCAAGAGGGCGCCGTGGCCAATGTCGTCTACCAATATGAAGTGATTAACTTTTGTTCTGCTGTTTGCAGGATTCTCGCCAATGCTACGGAGCTATGTGCATTGCGCTCAGATCTTTTTGAGTTAATTTGTTTTTAGTAACGGTGGAAGATGCGGAACGAAGAATAGAATGAGACTTATTAGCCTAAAACACGTAGAGACATACTCAAGAGGAGATTGGAGCAATTATGGTCATGTCCGACGTGCATTGAAGTTGGTCTCTAACATAAACTATGAACTAGTCTTTCAATGTATGGATTATCTGTTTCTTTTCCTGCACTGACCATATGATCCCAGAAGCCCTCACCACTAAAGATCAAAGGCAGTCTAAAGGTGCTTAAAGGTGCTTAAAGGTGACAGTCCCAACCTACAGCACCAGATATTTCTTATGGCTCAGAGTGCATCTGCCTGAGAAGCATATAACCAAGTCTGCATACAAATAAGCCACATCTGTAAAAATTATGTGCATGCAAAACTCAAGTTCTGGATAAAGACCAAAGTTAGTGGAAAAACGACCATAACTTTCTGCTGGAGTTTACAGCCGGTGAATGCTAGGAAGAAGATATTTCTGATGAAGCACTTACCTTAGAGTCATGAATGTGCTGGTACAATTCACATGTCTTGTCAGCATAACATCTGCAAAACTCACAACCTGAAAAATTAAATATCAGAAACTACTGTAAATGTATTATTGCTATCATCATTTCCAAGTGTCATTTCTACACTGAAGGTTGATTGTCAAAAGTCTTTTAAACATTTTCAGTCCTGTTGACTTTTTAAAAAAAAATTCATTCTGAAAGGTTTCTTTTAGTTTCAATTCTTGATGGCGTCTATCCACTTCAATGTCTTTCTTTTCATTCTGTCCACCCACATCACCATGTAGAGCCCTTACAGATCCCAGTGAATATTCCTGCAGCCATCCTCGATTGTGTTTGAGGCAAAATGTATTTTTACAGGCCACTGAAGGACAAGAGGTCTTCAGCCTGAGGATTTAAGGCTGTGGTGGTAGTATGGGCTAGCAGTTGTTTTTTAACCTTTTAATAGTCATCACCTTACTGAGGATTTGAAGCTGTCTCCCAAATAAAAGCCTGGCATTTGAGCTGCTTGGTCAGCAACTCCTCTATTGTAATAATACTGACTCATATGGTGGGATCCATTTACTGTCCTCTTGCGCCATTATATCACACAGGCCTTGCAGTTTATCTTTCCTTTTTCCCCCTATTCTTTTTGATATCATGGAAGGAATACAGTCTAGCACTTTTGGCTGTTATAAAGAGATTATGGAAAAACATGGTCTAGGAGTAGTAAATGAAAATGGAGAATTATTCACAAATTTTTGGAAGTATTTTCCCCCATAAAAGAATACATAAGGCAACATGGAAATCACCAGACCATAAGACAAAAAATCAAATTGATCACTTATGGATTAACAAAAAGTTTAGATTATCCCTTTATGATGTTAGGGCTTTCAGAGGTGGGGATATATTTACCAACCATTTTCTGGTGGTAAGTAAAATAAAGTTAAAACTTAAAAGATACGTAACATCTTATAATCATAGAAACCAATATAATGTAGGTTATCTCAGGGATAAAGCGAGAGATTGAAGTTTGCATATTTTTAATAGGACTGAGCCCCGTAAGGATAGTTGTTCGGCCACCATAATGCAGGGGTAGTAGTTAGGAGGAGAGCCCAAAAAACTTACACACATACATACCAAAGTAAGATCAGATGCTGCTACTATCATGGAATAGTTACCTTTTGTCATTCTGAATATAAAAGAATCAAGCCTTTCATCAACTTTAAACTTGTCGCTGGGGAGAAATAAGAATCTAGATAAGTGTAGACAATAAACTAATAAACATTACAGCAGGTGTATGTATGATCACAAATATTGTCTGTTAGCACCTTTCCAGATGATAGTGTTATGCTGTGCTATGAGATATGAGAAGGCGTGGGACTCACAGCATATGGCGATAATGAGTGTGTGACTATTTTAATTAAAGTCTCTTAGAGTCTACATCAGAATGTTCTAGTGGTGTAGCTCCCTGTAGACTGTAGCTTGCTTGTTATGCTGAAGCCGAAGCTAGTTAGTAGTTACATAAGTCGGCTATCCTCCGACTAACGGTCGGTAAAGAGGGCGGCAGCAAAATATTCTTTCGAGCCACAGTCACGTGACTTAATTGCGCACGCTGCTGCTCGTGGGTCCTAGCCATCTAGTTTAGCCCCATTCCACGCCGCGTGAGCGTGGGGGACACACGGCGGTGGTGGTAGTCGCCAGAAAACCGAAAATTAAGTCACGTGACTGTGGCTCGAAAGGATATTTTGCGGCCGCCATCTTTACCGATCGTTAGTCGGAGAACAGCCCCTAAGTCTAGTAGTAGTCAGACAACATTCCGTCAGTGAGGACTAATTTATTCAAGATAATAGTCAACAAAAATAATGAACGTCTAAAATTAACAGTAAAAAGAAGATCACAACAAACGCATTTATGTGACAACAGCAACACTAACAAATTAATATATGTGTCGTCTTCACTTGCACCACCAACTTACGCAAGATCTTTTCATCGCGCTTCTCACGTGGTTTCTTGTTTAGCTTTCGCTTTTCGTTTCAACCAAAACAATCTTTTGATCCCACTTTTTAAATTTCCTAACATGAAAATGAAGATCATTGTGTGCAATAAATAAATTCATGTTCTTGGAGCTTACGAAAAGAATTCTTGCAAGCTATATAGGGCCAGTTTTAACAAAAGGGCTGCGAAGCCTGGACAAATAATAAATAATATCTTGAGGCCGAGGAGATGTGCTTTTACAGAAGAATCTTTAGAATTCATTGGAATGCTAAGAAGAGCAACCAAAAAATTTTGAAAGAGGCGAATGCTCGAAGACATTGATTTTATTAGGGATGTTAGTGAAGTTTTATTTTTTAGGTTTTTACTTACGAAATTATAACAGCTAGATAAAAATTAAAATTACAAATCCAATGGTACCTCATTTAAGCCTGTAAGTCGATTCTAAGCGGAGATATTAACATTTTAGTGGCAGACACCACGACAGAAAAATTGTAGTGAATTCCAGAAAACATGGCTTCCGGCTGCGACCCAGTGAGATGAAATGACTCAATGTTTGATTTTACAGCCATAACTTTTTTGTTTCTGAACGAATCCCTTAGCAACCAAATATTGCTGGAAGCAGGACAGTTAGACCTAACTGTCTATGCACGTTTTAAAAACATATAATACATTATGCACCTAATTAACATATAAAAATGGCCGCCAGCTCACTATTTTCAAGCAAAACATTATACCTGTAAGGTTATCCGCCAGCGAGCCTGGCGACATGCATATCAAATTGTGCGTCTCAACAAGGTGAACACAAAGATCATATAAATGTGCCAATGTCAGTTGACGTGACCTAATTAACATATGAAAATGGCCGCCAGCTCACTATTTTCAAGCAAAACATTATACCTGTAAGGTTA